TGGTTGACAAATTGACTGAAGAAATAAGGTGATAAGTAAATTGATGGCTGAAAGTGATCCATTTAGTGGAGATTAATGAATTCAGATCACTTTTGGTGTTCTAATATAAAGATTTTAGGTATTTATTTATCCATCACTATCACAATGTCGCGCGTCATGCTGCTGCACCCCTCGGTCGGTTGGGCAGGAGCCAAGGCACTTTCTGCCTTTCCGTTTCCCTCCCTCTAGCTATGTATGAATTTATTTCAAAATCTTCTGATATAATCTGATATTACTCAACAAAATCAATAGTTGTTTTTGGTAATCCAATAACAGACGCATTTGGAGATACAGTGTTAGATAGAGATACAGAGATTGGGACACTAATCGGGGAGTGTTGTGTGTTAAATGGGGCTATTAGAATCTTTCTCTGTGAAGTAATAAGGTACTAATTGGATGACAAATTTGTATGGGAAATAACGAATCACACCTTTGGCTGAGCGAAGAGCTGTTTTATTTTCCATGTTTTCTTTTCAAATTAAAAATCTGGAAACTTGAATCTACAGATATCTATCTTTAATTACACTCTGAGGCCCCCACATTTATGACTTTGCAAAGTCTGTGGCTTGGTCATCTTTCATCTTGATATTTGCGACTTTTAGTGCTACATGTATATTGGGGCATGTAGCAAGTTCTCAGTCGACCCCCCGCCATTTGCGACTGTGCGCGCGACTCCAACTCCGATTCAAATGCAATTTTCATGCAATTTTGTGGCATTATTTATTAGATGGCCCCGTTGAAAGCGACACACACACATACACACACTGTGCCACAAAAAACTCCAAAGTCTCAGGCCTGCGGCGCTTGTGATTTATGCCACGCAAGTGTCAAAAAATGTCCTGTTGCATGCGTCGCCGCCGTCGGCATAGATTTTGGTCAGAGATAGAGTGGCCACACCACACCACACCACTCCCCCACCTATGCAACACATTGAACACATGCCACCATTCCTCCATTCCGGGGGAAACCATTAAAAAACAAAAAAAAAACTTTGAATTGCAATTTCATGGGTTTGCGGGTCGATTTTTTCTGTGATTGTGTCAACAGTATGGGCCATAAAAATGGCCGATTTAAACAAATTTGCGGCATTACTTAGAGCCACCGATCTGGTGGGGGGGATTATGGATTCAATTATAATAGAGAGGCGGGCGCGGTGGGGCAGCCACTTGGAAGCGCGTGTCGCCCATCCCCAGGAAGCAATTTTCTAGCACTGCCGCCAGATCCCCACGAAGAACAAATATTTATGTTGTGTTTTATGTTTTGGCAAGCCAAAAAACAAATAGAGGAAATCTCTTCAGAGAAGGAGAATGAATTCTGGCCAAGAGCAACGACTTCCAGGCAGAACCGGGAGAACGCGAGACCTGAGGACAGACATTAGCCGAAATGTGTGAAAAAAGCTGCAGAGTCGACGGCCCACGCATTTTCACAGATTTAATTTTTTTTGTTATAAATTTCTTGGTACATTTCGAGCAGCAGCAGATTGCAGGCAGGCAGCAAATTTGGAACGAATTTCGTGCAAGAAAAAAGTGTCTTAAAAAAAGATATTCCTCCCCAGAGATACCCCAGAAAGATGCGAAAATAGTATTAACATTTAGACCAGAGAATACCCTATGATTCAGCTGAAAAGTCAGCATAAAGTAATGAGTAAATGAACTCTTAGCAGTGATGGGGCGTGATTCTTAACAAAAACCATTCACATTATAGTATTTTATTGAAAATTACTCTTGGAGAATGGTGTGTTAGGTGTGATGCTCAACAAATTGAATGACTTTGGGGATAATAGGGATGTTCCTTCAGTAATAATTCAATGTACTCTCTCGTAAAGTGTCATATTCGACCTCAATTACCACCTATTGTTTCCAAGAACCCATTTTTCATACAAAAAGACACATGTACCTGGCTTATCCTGTATTAAATACATGATTTACGACCCCCCAAAAAACTCTTTCTTCTCGTTCAATATGCCCCTGACCCCCAACGAATGCAAGGGGTACACAAAGCGATGAACATGACGCAATGTAGCGTGTGATTTGGTTGCCAATTGGCAGCGGCTCTCTATGGACCCACAATTCATTTACATCTACATGCGAGTATTCATAAAGAATATGTCATGAATATTCGTGGATATATGTACACTGTATTCTGTGGGCTAAGAAGATGGCGCAAGATGACACTGGCCAAGGCCACTGGCACAGCTATAGCGAGCTCTGGGATCGGGGAAATCTGTGGGGAAATCTGCGAGGAAATCTTGTGAACTTGCGAGTGCTGCGACGACTGTCAGCAAAAGTCAATTTTAATAAACGCATTTTGTGGCAGGCGACAAGCGACTGGCGACAGGCGACAGGGCGCTGCTCCCAATATTTGATTAAGATCATCGCCGTGATGACGCCCATTCGATCATGGCCGATCATTATCGTATCGCGCACATCCGTATATATATTTATAAATACATAGACCTACTAAATTATACATACTATAAATAATGTAGGGCTATGGCTAATCTATGTGGTTGCGAGGGAGCGATTACAGGTTCAACTGATTTCAGAGCTTCAAAGCGAGTGAATAACAAGTGAATCAGTGGAAATCTATTCGAAATATATGGAAAAAGAGTCGAATCTAATATTGCGAATATTATGAACTATAGTGCTATATTCTAAAGGAAGATATTTCGGATTATATCTGCCACGAAAGATATTTCAATCAAAACATATCGAAATTTATGGAAAATTGAACAGTAAATGTCTTAAATGGATTTGAACGTAAACAAATACGGGTTAAGATCTAGGGAATTGATGGATTCGAGTTATAGAAAAGAATATTGATCGGAAATAATCAAAAATGATCAAAGGTTGTGTATTCCATACAAAATCAATCTAGGAATATCAAACGCAATCAATTTTTAGAATTAAAGTGGGTATAACAATGATGTTTCAATGAAATTGTATTCAATTATCCCTTGAAACACAATAAACAACACTTTATTTTCCCCTATCATTTCTTGATGAATTCAGATTTCAGCACAAACTAACCAGAATGAAATACTCAAGACTCAGTAGTTCTGTATGAACGGAAAGCCTTAGCCTTAGTTCTCTCTCTGTTTAATCAATTTCTTAATCTTTCAAACCCATAAAACCCAATTAATCTCCTAAAGATCAACTTGAATAAGGAATGATGCAATTTAATACAAGATTTCGTATTCATAATTCTTACATTGCAGAGCTATAATCTCTGGAGCCAAAGATTACAAAAGGAGGACACTGAACTCTCAGCTTTTTTTCATTTCTGAACTAATTTAAGGCTTGTACAGCATTGAAGTTTAACCCAAAGGATAAAGTCCACCATTTAGGGGCTTACGACATACGATTTTATATTCAAACATATGAAGTGCTATAAAGTTACCACTTGGATTCGGAATATTACGGAAAATCCCACCCAGACTCCCACTTACCGCTCATTCTTGTCGTATTTGCGAAATGTGACATGCTCCAGCAGCACCGAGGATTCACTTTGGGGCTCTGCGGATATACCCTGGGCACGCTGTCGCTGGAAGGTCTGTCCGGACTTGCGGGTGGCACCTGTGGCAGTGCTGGGGCCGCTACCGCCGCCCGAGGATCCGCCCGCACCGGCGGCACTGCTCCGGCTGAAGGGGAAGACGCTCTGGAATTTATCCAGATGGGATTTAAGCTCCGCTATTTCGTTGTCCTTGAACTGGAGGGCACGCTGCATTTCCTGGATCTTGAGATCCTTGGCCTGGATGATCTGTATGAAGCGCTCCTCCTGCGGCGTGGCAGCCACGTAGGCGGCCGTGTTGCTCATCATCAGCGTCGGCTCTCCCATGCCCACCGGTGAGGGGGTGGCCGAGCCGGGACTGGGGGCGCCACAGCCTCCGGATATCCGGAGTCCCTGCATCTGTTGCTGCACCTGCGCCAAGGCCAGCGTTGAGGGATGAGACAGTGGCAGCGGCTGCGCCTGCAGCTGCGTGGGCGAGTTGCAGGAAGCAACGGTTGCCGCTCCGGGTATTGCCACCGGCTGACTCGCTCCCGGATTACCGCTCGGACTCGGCTGGTGGTACGAGAAGAGTCCCTGCGTCTGGGCCTGGAGCTGTTGCAACTGCTGATAGCGCTGCTGCAGCTGCAGCTCCTGTTGATGCAACAGACTCCTGGGGTCCGTGTGCAGCTGCTGTGCCCCCGACGGCGGTGTGCCGTAGATCAGTGTGTGGGTGAGTACATCGGAGTGCGGCGGTGGGGCTTGTATCAGCCGTAGACCCGACGCCGTCTGTTCGAGGCCCAAAAGTCCAAGGTTATTACCCGCGGAGGGCAATGTCACGATGCCGACGCCGCCGCCCAGCAGATTATTATTATTGTTGTTGTTGTTGCTTGTCGCGGCGTAAGCGTTGTTGGTGTTCGCGGCGTTGTTGGCGACGTTCTGGACGATGCTCACCAGACCCAAGTCGGTTTGGAACTGATAGTTGGCGTTCGGCTCCTGCTGCATGCTGGCTGCTTTACGGATCTTCGGATCGCCGGCGGAATCGGAAACGAAATCGGAATCTGGTGATAGTACCTTCGTGTGGTTCGTGTGGTGCTGCTGCTTCGGTTTCCTACGATCTTCGGCACTGCTGTGACGGCGATAGCGACGCAGCTGTAGATGTGTCTGTTGTATCTCTGACTGTAGCTGTTGTATCTGTAGCTCTGTCCGCTGTATCTCTGTTTGTATGGAAGGTGTCTGGGATTTCTTGGGGGATTGTGGTGCTGGTGGGGTCTCCTTTTGGGGAAGTTTCTCCTCGTTTTCTGCCTCTATATCCGGTGGTTTATCCCTGTAATCCCTATGAATTATCGCTGGCTTTAATCTCTGATATTCCGCATAGAATAGATCTCCTCCCTTTCCGATCGGTTGCTGGTGTATCTGTTGCTGTTTCTGCGGTGGTGCTGTTGATGGAGTTGCTGTTGCTGTTGCTGCTGCTGCTGCTGCATCTGTGGTGGTGCTAGGTGGGCTATGGCTATGGCTGTGGCTATGGCTCTCGGCGGTGGTGCAGGTGCTGGTGCACTGTGGTTCATTTGTGCTGTGGCTGCTGCTTTGGCGATTGTTGTTTGTGGCTGGCCGCTTGGTTGCGAAGCACAGCCTATCAAAACAGAAACGCATCCTCCAGGCGGCTTGCAGAAACAACAGCCGCCACGGAAACGATGATCAATGGAGCAAACGAAGCCCTACGAATGAGGAGAGAAATAGTAAGAGAATTAGTTTAAGTTGTAGATATTTTCTTGTGGACAGAGATAATACCTAATAAAGTACCTGCACTAAAAATGAAAGAGAACAATGTTACTTAACAGTTCGATAAACATCGATAACACATCGATAATTAAAATCGATAATAATAGGAAATAATTCGATTGCTCTTCGATAAATAAATATAATGTCGATCAACAATCGATAACACACCACTAATCGATACCAAATCGATAATGGAGCGGAATTTGGGCACATATGTATGTACATATGTGGATCGAATTTCTTATAAGCGAACGGATATCATTCAAATAGAATAAAACAAAGAAGATAAACTCTAAACGGTCTATAATTTATAATATCGATAGACAAGGCTCGATATTTACAGAATGATTCAATCGTTCGTCACTTATCAAATCTAATCTACAGTTAATCTTTATAATCCATAGCTAATCTCCAATCTATAGCTGCACAAACTGATTTAGCAATCAAAGCCTTAATGCTTCAAATGAATGAAAAATATCCAAAGGGGGAAAAAATTCCTCGTAGGCGACCCCCTTTTTTCATCGTCTCTTCTTCGAAGCTAATTTCCCATAGAGCTCTGATATCAGACACACATTGGCTTATCATATCTGTTGGATATACAACCTCTTACATGATTTGACAAACTTTTTTGGGCGACACTCCTTAAGTCCATAGAGATATTATCACTTTCGAAACGTAGTTTGTATCTCCAAATGAGTTTCGTTTCAGGGAAATTCAAAGAATTTCATATATGAAATAGATAAAGTGGCTCAACGCTTATAGTTTGTTTGCTTATGCTTTTGTTTTCAGACACGTTTCAAGACAGACAATAATTCAAATGGAATGGCCAAGTAGAGTAGCTAAAAATAAAACCCGTCTAAAAACTAAACATGGTCTGGGGTACATTGTAAACAAAAACTACATATACGAGAAGAAAGAACAAAAAAAAACCCCCACTATAAACAAGTGTGGCAGGTTTTTGGAAGAACAAGCGGATAGAATAATAAGCAAAAACATTAATGAGTGGGCGGATCATGAGTGGATCATGGCATCCAAACAGTGATAGGATAGTATGTGGAAGATTGAAGATTATTCTTCGAAAATTCAAGTTCAAATCGAAGGTGAAGATCAGTCGGGGGAGTGCCTGAAGCACGAAGCACGAAGCATAAGAAGAAGACACTGTTGAGGAAGATCAGTTTGAGATGGCGGATGGGATGCGAAGAAGCTCTCAAGTGATCATCAGAAATACGATGGTATAATGGAAAGTTACCAGAAAGATACTAAAAATACCAGAGCAGAAATATGAGCGGAGAAAAATTACCAGAAAAATACTCGAAAATTTATAAATATAATTCATAATATAATATAAATAAAATAAATACCAGAAAAACAGAACAAATTTGAAGAATTTCCTATCATGAAAATTTTCAATATGTAAAAAGAGATCTGAAGATTAGTAAATTTTTGAAAGTGAAACCAGGGACTTCGTAATGAATTATCTGCTTAATTTCAGCCAAATTTGTTAATTTCAGAATTTTATCTTAATTTATTGATCGATTAAGATCTAACAAAAAACACTTCAAGAAGATCGTTAAAAAAACAAAAAAAAAAGTCTAAATAAAGATCACCTTCCAGCCATAAAAAAAGCACAGCTTGAGCATAAAGATCCGTTTGGAAACCTGTCCAAGATCATGGCTGAAGTTCTCTGTGGAGATCAGCGATCATACAGCATTCACCGTGAGGGTTAGGGCTCAGCGATGCGTGTCAGAGAAACGTCTCTCGAGACTACGAACACCCGCAATGTATCTTCAAACAATCGCTTCAGACGCACATTAGCATTGTTAATGATTGCACAGGGGATTAATGTACGATTCGTATGCGCTCGGGCTCGGGCTCTACATAAACAATGCGGGGAATATCGACATTGAGGGCTAGAAAACGGAGGAACGAACGGATACGGATATGAGAGATAGAAGATACGAGAGATACTAGCCCACAAAATGCGGGCAATTATCGATGGGTAATTACCCGCAAATTTTACTAAATGCAATTCCCGCGATCCGCACGCCGATCCAAAATAGTGGCAGTTCTTCCTCCAGAAGTACGAAAAACAGAAAGGAAAAAACAAAACAAATTGAAACAATTGATGGAAGTGCTCCGAACAGAGAGACGCTGCGGTTTTATTTATAGACACAATTGACGGGTACCCCCTTTAAATGTATCTGTATCTCTGTATCTGTCTGTCAATGAATTTGCTGGCTGGGTCTCGTGATCGGGGGGGCTGCCACTTAAGCGCAATTACGATTGCAATTTGTTTCCATCTCGTGGCCATAAATAAAAAGGAAACCAAACGAAAGACAGTCAGTCGACTTTCGTAATATTTTAAATGATTTTATATTTTTATTGTCATTTAAATGATCGGATGGCAACTCTGGTGGCAAACAGGTTCCCCTTTTTTTTTCTTCTTTCTTTTAATTAGTATTATGAAAACATTTATAAACGACTACATTTTGTTGAATGTCAACTCGGTTTTTGGCCGCTGGAGGAGAGAGGGTATTAACATCGAATCGATCGTGAGTTGAGTTCATTCATGCCACTGATAACACCCCAAATAAAACCCCAGCCCAAAAATATAAAAAACCAAGTCAAACTTATGCCAGAGAATCTTATATATGTACATATACATATTGTATATTGTATCTAAAGCTCTGACCATTTAGGGAAGTTCTCGGTGGACGACTGCGGCGTGACTTCTCGTAGAAATCCCTGACAGCCGCTCACGAATGCGTTAAAGATTGAAAGATACGCGCAATTAGTGTGTCATTATGATCGCTGATAGCGAAAGATACAACAGGTTGTAGATACAGCCTGTAGATACATTCTCAAGGCAGTTGTGCAACAAAGTTCAAATAGAATTTGGGCTCGCTGATTCCCTGGTTTTATGAGAGGATTAAAATCAATCAATAAGATAAATTTTAGTGCCAGGGAGAGAGGATGGATCTGCCGCTATCTTTTATCTGAATTTTTGAAAATAGTTCCAACTTCTTAGTTTTAAGTGAGCTTATATCTTTTCCATAAATCTCTGAAATCCTCCATATATGTACTTATGCAAAGCTCTGCGATCTTGAGCAATTGTTAAGTCATTCTCAAGGCTCATGTGCCTCGACAACAACGTTTCTTTTTGAATTACCATCAATGAAGATATAATTTTGGCCACATCTCCATTAAATCCTATCCAAAAATTCATTTTTGTAATCACTTAAATCCCTAAAAGGCATTGGTGGCCATTGATCGCTGATCATCTTTGACATCCCATCGATCCATCCATCAAAATCAATTCCCAAAAGCAAATATTTAAATCTTTGAGGCAAAATTTCTTTCGCTTTTCAGCAAATTGCAATCATCATCATCATTCCGTTGGTCATTTGCTAATCAAAACTGACATTCACGATCATTTCAGAGGAGCCAAGGCACATGGCAAGTGTCCCAGCTGTCAATCTGAGAGTCTCAGGGGAGGAGCAGAAAAGAGAGGGACTCTGAGGAGGAGACAGCGCCCCGACAACATCATGTTAAACAAACAACATAATGGGCCAGGCATGGGGCATGGGGGCATGCCAAAAATGCCATTCGCATTCGAATCATTTAAAGCATAATTAAGCGTTTAGTCAGCGACTGAATATCTTTTCCGCTCCACGCAAACACACGACAGAATTGAGACATCAATTGGAGAGAGTTATGTCAGCCATATTGGGGCATACACAGATACAGATACAGATACAGCAGATACTTAAATGTTGCTTCCTCGAAGTCGAAATTGAAACAAGAATTGTCTGGTTTTCACTAGGAGAGAATATTCCACACAAATTGATTGTCGGGGGAACTGGGAATTTCATTCCGTTTTCCATTTCTCGTTCGATTCCGTGCAATTATTCGAGTTATTTTCCATTCCAGTGTGGGTTTGTGTTTTTCAACATTTCTGTTCTGTGTGTTTTGTAATCAATAAAATTGTAATAAAAATTCAACGTTGAATCTCGAGTCGCGAGTCGTAAATTCTTATAGAATTGCAGGCGTTGACAACGCCATGACGAAGCCCCGTCGTGACCCGAGCTACAAACAACAGTTTTTTTGTTGTCATGGCCGCCGGTGGTGACCCCCGCACGCAAATTAACGAATGATTTACGCAAAATCAACGCCAAGCCGAGGCCTAAGATCATCGCTCATTAGTATGTTGTTACTGTGTAATGATACCCCGTTGTGTACGGAATGGAAGGGTCATTAGATTCGTGGAATTGAAAGATAAGAAAGAGTGTCAATGGAGCGTGGAATTGGGATATATTGAGGGAATAGTACGGTCCGGTTGGTGGCAAAGTAGGACGGATTGTGTGGACCCAAAGACGCAGAGCTGTACTCTCGATATCACTCTCTATCTCTCTCGCGGTATGACACTCACACTATCCGCATCCCGTTAATTCCGACGAATTCCGGAGAGAGTGGTCTGAGAATGAGAGTGCAGCGAAATTGCTCTCCCAGCAACAGCGGAAGAAAGAATAGCAACAACTGCAGTGAGAGAAGTGCATTGCGTGCAAGGAGCAATGGGAGAAAAAGAGAGAGAACAACAAACTGCGACTCACAAAATATTATCGCATCTCGCCATCGCATCACATCGCAATGCATTCCCTTATAGCACAACAAAAAAGTGTTGTCCCTCTCTGTCCCGCCTTCATAAGGCTCTTGATTTTACTGGGCCTATATCCTTGTTTTCCTGCCACTCTTTTGCCCCCACAAGAGCTCCAAATTCAGTACGTGCCTCCTCTCCCTATGCCCCATATAATTTACGTATTCTGCATAACTAGTGGGCATTCCATAGCTCGAAGTATTCCTTTCTTGTTATCTTTTCAATCTGTGTAATCTGTTGCTTTAGTTTTTTGCTTTAGTTAGGTTTTTTTTTTAGATTTAT